GCGTTTTAACCAAAGATTTAAGTTAAAAATTAGAGTTTTCAGAGGAGTTGCCAATGGTTTGTTCCGAAATTATATTTTTCATAGACTTTTACACTAGGAGTTAAAAAAAATGGAAAACTGTTAAATTAAAACTAAATAAAACTATATTAAATTTGATGTCCCATCTTCTTGAAATATGTTTTACATATGTTTCTAGACAATCGACAATGAATAATACGAATCTGTTTTATAGTCTCAGAATTAATTTTTCATCTGTTAGAGTATCTATGGCTAACTTTTTAATTATTCTTTTTTAAGATAACGTGTGAGAGGAAGAAAATAAATAGAACAACATGTAAAAAGTGAGAAACATATACAAAAATGTGATAGAAATAGATTGATAACAACTATAAGAAAGATTCCAGGTGATTCATGTTGCCAGTATAGAATAACTTTAAACAGAAAAATTTTTACTTCAAAACTTGCTTTTATTAAATATGCTCAGTACGTGTTTTGAGAGAAACCTCTCATCTTCAGCTGAATCTAATATAAAGATTGGATACAATATTAATATACATTACTAAACAATTTTAAAAATAAAAAAATTACGTCATAATTAACTATATAAAACCTATGTAGAATGTGAAAAAATTCATAATACTAGTCGTCGATTAACTACAAAAAACGAATTAAAATCGATTACGAATAAAAACTTATTAAAATATTAAAAACTTACTAAAAATATTTCTATTTAAAAAAAAATATTTCTATATATACAGGTGATTCAAAAAAACCGCTGACAGACTTCTAGAGTAGATAATACATGAAAAATTAAGATGAATAGTCTTAATATACATGGGGTCGCAAATGCCTTGTTGGCGAGATATAGCGGATCAAAGTTTCTGTAAAATTAAACATTATCTGCAATAAAAAGCACTTTTTTTAAAATTTTATCTACTTATTGCTCTCTACGCGTGTAAAGTGATCAATTATCTATCAATTGGTCTCTTTGATAGATAATAAAAAAAACACGTTTGTAGAAAATTTGTTAATTCAATCAAAAACTGTTGCTTTAATCAAAGTTTTGTAAGAGACCAATTGATAGATAAATGATCACTTTACACGAAAATANTAGTTAATTATGACGTAAGTTTTTTATTTTTAAAATTGTTTAGTAATATATATTAATAATCCAATCTTTATATTAGATTCAGCTGAAGATGAGAGGTTTCTCTCGAAACATGTACTGAGCATATTTCATAAAAGCAAGTTTTGAAGTAAAAATTTTTCTGTTTAAACTATAAGAAAAGTATATGTTTGCATATTTCCACATATTTTTGCATATTTTTTGCATATTTTTTGCATATTTTGAATAAAAAGCTAGCATATTTATGCGCATATTTTCTATAATTTGACTGCATAAAAATCCGAGCTCTAATTATTATACAGGTGTCTCCTCGTTAAGATGCATAACTTCGTAGAGTTATTCCTTGCATCAAAATTAGCAAAAAAACTTCTGATCAACATAGGTGCAATTCTCAACCGTTTTCGAGATATGGGTGGTCAAAAGCGCTGAAAGTTACTAATTACGGTAACTAATTGAGTTTTACTTTTTTTAGATGGAATCCGCATGAAGTTGGCTTTTTGATAGTTATCAATGAAGCAGTTTCTTAGTATTTTTGTCATTGGATTCCGCTCGTAGACCCTTTAAAAATGCCTCTTTTTACGAATGAAGAGTACGCCGACATGATATTTTTATATGGCTATTGTGGAGGAAACGCTTCAGAAACTGCAAGAGATCCTTGTCGGACAACCATCATAAATTGTTTCAGATCGCTCCGGCAGACAGGATCCTTCCCGAAAAAGACTAATGAGCGAGAGCCTGCGCGAAGAAATCACACTGAAGCTGTTCATCATGTAGTTTCTGAGATCATCGATTCACAGGACTTTGCGTAAAAATAGGCTATATCCTTAACACGTACAACAAGTACAAAATCTCCTACCAGCAGACTATGCGAAATGAAAAGAATTTTGCTCCTGGATCCTAGAGAACCAAGATCTCCTCTCAATTGCTTTGTTCGCGGATGAGTCTACCTTCACTAGTGATTTAAACTCACATAACGAGCACATCTGGAGCGAAATCCCCATACCTTGTCAGAATGTAGATTCCAGTTCCGATTTTCGGTTAATGTGTGGGGAGGAATCATCGAAAATGTTGACTTGGGATCGAAAATGTTTGATGGAAGTTTGACCAGTCAAATCTACAAAAGATTCCTAGAAGAAGAGTTTCCCATACTTAGTAATCTTCAGGTTAAGCGGGGCATCTTTTGAACAACTGTTTGATGTTTTGGAATGACCTTCTCCAATAACATGTTCGAAGTGACGAAATCGGTAAAAATTTGACTAAGTCAACCAAGTAGTTTTTGTCAAATCCTCATGGAGAAGGCTTCGCCGAGGTAACTACCATTTTCCATCTGCGACTGAGTTCCTAGCCGTCTTCTCTATTCATATTGTTGCCATGTCGATGGATCTCTATTGCCTCCTTGTCATCCTCTGGACATAATTTCTGACTTTGGCTAGCACCTTGATCCTATGAAATCTATGGAGTGTCTCTTTTTGTGGCAATGTTCTGATACTATCGTCTGCTGGATCTTATTTAGTCAGACATCCCTCTCATGCTTTTCATGCGGTCTTACTAGTAACCAAAACATCCAGGAAATGTAACTATTTTGAAGCTTCCATTTTCATGGTNTGAGGTTTTCGGCATTAGCAGTTTCTCGAAAAACGAGATCATGACATGTAAGCTACTTTTTTTCTAACTCTTATAGTTTCCGACTTAGCCTATTCGGACATCGAATTTGAACCACCCTGTACATATGTTGTAATGTACTTTCTTATTAAGCTGTATTGTAGATTTGGGGTATTTTACGGTAAAAATTTCTAAACGTTTTGTATATCACCTTTATCATTTTGGGTAGACAGAAGAAGTTTGGACGGATATTGATGTGCTACTGACATACTAAAGTTCCTGGATGTCTTCTTAATACTAGATTTCATAAACATTATGCGAGGTGAAGTATTTTGGTCATTGAACTAAAACTGTGCATCTTTTGAACAACTGTTTAATGTTTTGGAGTGACCTTCTCCAATAACATGTTCGAAGTGACGAAATCGGTAAAAATTTGACTAAGTCAACCAAGTAGTTTTTGTCAAATCCTGATGGAGAAGGCCTCGCCGAGCTAACTACCATTTTCCATGTGCGACTGAGTTCCCAGCCGTCTTCTCTATTCACATTGTTGCCATGTCGATGGATCTCTATTGCGTCCTTGTCATCGTCTGGACATAATTTCTGGCTTTAGCTAGCACCTTGATCCTATGCAAACTATGGAGTGTCTCTTTTTGTGGCAATGTTCTGATACTATCGTCTGCTGGATCTTATTTAGTCAGACATCCCTCTCATGCTTTTCATGCGGTCTTACTAGTAACCAAAACATCCAGGAAATGTAACTATTTTGAAGCTTCCATTTTCATGGTAAATTCTGGAGATGCTCTTTTCCACGCTGCTAAATCACAAAGGACTCTTAACGTTTGTGCTTCAAACATCTCCATGTAGAAATTGGCGATTACCGGTGATAAAGGTGATTCAACAATGAAACTTACCGGAATATCCTAGAGAACTAACTTCGTACTTTTGATTGAATCCACAAAATGTGTAGAGTCTCTGACATTTGATTCTGTTTTTCAAAAGATAGTTTGCAGATAATTTCTTTCTTCGAAACCCTCTTCGGATCGACTACGTAATTCCAGTCTTTGGCGATCACTGTAGTTTCCTCTTCTGATAATGAGACGCTTGATCGGTTGATGACGACCGTTTGAATTAAATTAAAGTAAATCGTTGTTCTTCTTTTTGTGGTTGCGCCAACGACTCCAATTTTTTTTGTTTGTCCCAGTTTTTTTGGAATTCACGTACCACCCTCTCCATAGCTATTCTATTCTCAGTCTTCTCTAGCCATAGACACAGAATAACCAGAAGTGACACTGGCGGTATCTCGCCAAATCTGTTGATATTGTTGCCAGGAAGCAAGGTATTGCTGCTATTGGTGGTAAATTAAGTTGTCTCTGTGTAAGTTGTCTCTCTCATTCATTGTGCGTTCATCGTGCTTATGGTTCCTCGCGATAAGATGGCGGATTTTAAATCGAGGTCATAAAACAAGATGCAGCCAATATCAAACGAATGGACATCAGTGTCACTTCTCCTTATTATATGCCATAGAATTGGAAAGTGCAAGGTGAAATCGTAATAACCTCTCATTTATTTTAGGCAACCTAACTTATACCTTTTAAGAGCGACTAACAACACTCGTTATTTGCACCATTCTTATCACTAACGTTCATAACTTATTATTAATCAGAAATATGTGTACTTCAAACCTATGTATTTAGTTTTTTATAAATATGTAACATGAAGTCGTGAATATGTAATAACGGAATCCTTTTCCAGCACATATAACATTCATTAAGTTTTTCATAATAACATGTCTTGTATAGTGTTTTGAAGTAGAACATTTTAAAGATAATTTTGTTACTTTCTTGAAAGATTACCCATGTTTGGATTTTACACTCAAAAATGTGCACAGAATAACACACTTTCTTCTCTCACAGCTTTTTTACCATGATAAATAAATACTTACATATAAATTCTTACCTAACATTAAATGATATTACGAAAATATTTCAGCATAACCAAAAAATCTTTTTTGATTTGTTCTTTCTTATGTTAGATTCAATTATATCGAATTTTAATTTCACTATTACATATTACTTTAACTTCTCTCCCATAGATGTCCTCCCAAAAGCAATAACTTTTAAAATTTATTATAGAAACCTGTAATAAAATTCCTTTTTTACAAAAATTCCAAGATATTATCTAACTCAACTTATTACGAAACACAAGATAATCTACGATTTATCTAATCAACCACCTTCAAAATCAATCCTTTAAATAAAAAAAAAAACAACAATTTGATTAATACATCTAAAATGTATTAATTTATATCACATAACAAACAAAAATGTCAAAGAAGTATCTCTAAATTAAACTAAGAATCAATTTATTTCTTTTCAGCATCTTGACCCTCTTCTTTCTTCTTTGGTAAAGGCAAAGGGAAAGTACCTTCTTCGACTTGTTGTTCGAATTTTTCTACCCAAAAGTTTGGACAAAGGGTTTCATAAGCTTTTTTGAAATAGCTACAATCTTCGTGTCCCTCGTTATACAACCGGATACATCTGTGATAATCCGAGAACATTACGAAACAGTATCTGGTACAATTCGTGTTTGGAAAACGTGGATCAAGAGGGACGGTTCCTGGATAAGTTTCTTCGCTTCCACCCTTTTAGAAACAAAAAAGTTAAGGTAGAAAATAATTTATTATTAAAAATTGTTTATATAAAATGGTTTACCTCGGCATCAGCCATTTTTCACCTCCTTTTTTCCTTGTGACACTTCGCTGACTAAGAAAACCACAAAACGTCACGTAACTATGAAAGAATATTACATATTTGATATTATTCGAATAACTTAGGTGTTTTTTTATTAATAAAAAAGGTGTTAATTTGATGACCTTACCTAGTAGTCACGTAACACACGAAATATAAATATTTTATCCACCTCTACCTAATAAAGTGAATAAGCAAACAGGAGATTTGATAAGATAAGTTTTTTAGTTTCTCGCATTTCAAGCAGGTTATAAATTGGTCCGCTTTAAAATTTAAACTAAAAAGAAAAATATAATAGAATCTATTTAAAATGTTATGTCATTAAGGATAAATATTAACGACAGTTAATATTTATTTTATTGCTTTTCTGGAAATTATTTAAATAGAGGTGACGTTTAGCAGATTGTTTATGAGGCGTCATCTATTGATCATTTTTGAAATGTTTATGTTGAGGTAATATTTACTAGATGGAGTTTAACCTTCCAGTACACGCAATATACACAGTCTGCAATAAAACGGTCGCCGAGTAAAAGATGGCGCTAGTTAGAACTTAGTTTTAGAACTCATCGTAGTATGAGTTACAATAAATTTATTGTACCCATAACTTTTTCTCTGATTTCGCATATTTACCAACTTTCTATAAATATTTTACAATATAGATTGAAATTTAAACTTGCATTGTGAAAACACAATTTTCGTAATGAGAAGTTGGTGTAAAATTCTCTTAATACTGTAAATTTACAATATAGAAAGTTAACTTACTTGTTAATTTACTTTCTTGATTGTAAATTTTCCTTATAGAGATTAATATTACTATCTTAACTGAATAGTACAACCATATCATAATCATAGGGTCCAAATTACCAATAAGTACATTGTAAATCGACCCTATTATTTTTCTGTGTTGTCTCGATTTTAAACAATAAATCATAGTTTTTCGTATGTATTTGTATGGGTTGGGAAGATAATTCTGATTTATCCAGCCACTATGCCAAAACTTTACGTTCCAATATTTTTTAATAATCCCAGTTCAAAAACTACTTCATACTTTACATATTGCAATGCCATTTGTTTTTTTTATTTCTGATAAGCCTGATTTATCGTGGTCATCTCAAAACACTATTTTTTGACAATGAGTGGCTAAGTTGCTGTGTACTTTAGCAATGAGCGACGATTTCGCACTGCAAAAATTGTAAACTTTACTCAAAATATGAATAAATATATGGTGAAAAAATTCGCAGTTGTATGTTTATTTGGTTTGGCAAAAACAAAAATTACACGAGATGACCCCCTTAAATGTAGTAAATAAAATAAGGTAGAAGATAACTATTTTAATATAAAGTACTAAATTAGGGAGTGAAACATGCAACTCATAACATTATTGCATTTAAGATTGTTCAAAAAGAAAAATACTACTTTTCATAGCAAGCTACAAAAATCAACGTATTCTTTATCCTCTTTAATTCATACCCTGACACTTTATTATTACTATCAAAAGTTGTTGTTGCATGTTGTCTCCGAGATTAATTTGTTAGGGAGTGTCTAAACATTGCACGGCAGGAATGCGCGGCGTTCGCAGGACTCAATTCTGTTCAAAAACCAGTAGTCGCCCAATATTTGGATGACAGACCCTTACCAGAGAATAACCAGAAAGGACGCAGGGGTATCTCGCTAAAAGATAAAAGTGAACCTTATCGTTATTGGCGTGCCTTTGGCTCCCTCAACGATCTGGCAACTTCGCTAGCTTCGCTTCTCTCGACAGAAACCAAGTTCATTGGGTTCCTTTCTTACAGATGGTCAAATTCAAATCGAGGTCAAAAAATGCGGTTCCTCCAACATCAAGAAACCGAGATAAGTGTCCTTTCTGGTTGTTCTGTGCCCTTACAGACAACTTATGTTTCCGTGTTGAAGCTAATAACAACAGCTCAATGGCATTGCCACTAGTGCATAGGTTAAACATAAAGAAAGAAATCAATAGAAAAATAAACATTAATAAATTAGAAGTAATAGACACCTAACTGTATCTATAAGATACCTATCTGTAATGAACCATGCTGCTTTCCAGGATCATCTTATACTAATAAACATGATGTAGTTATTGATGTTGAACTTATAATTTCAAGTCATTAAATAAAAAAATATTACCTTGTTCGGTTATGTTAATTAGGTCCTTTGAAAACGGCATATGCAAGGAAGGAACAGCAGTTTTCTTTAGATACATATTACACGCTTCGTCATTCAAAGTAAAATACAGGTTGTTTCATAATATATGCGAATGACTTCAGGATGTGATAGCTTGTCCAAAAATTTGAAAAAAAGTTTTTATCAACTTACCCTTTGAAATACACTATTTTTGAGATAAATTTTTAAATTTTTTTGAGAAATTTAATAAAAAAAATTCGTTTTTGCGAATATCTCCGGAACCGTTTATAGTACAGAAAACAGCTTTTGTAAGCAGTTTCTACTCATAATAAGCTAAGTTTTGGGTGCGGAAAAATTTTTTTAAAGTAATAATTGGTGAAGATTTTGAAGGGGTAGTGGTTGTTTTTCTCCCCAACTTCTACGCCACTGGAAAGAGTACGGGTTTGAGACGCCCATTTGAACCGCCAATGTTTTCTACGCAAAAAAGGTACTGAAGGTCATGAGCTTTAAAGTTGACCGTTTTCGAGAAAAATCAACTTTCATGTTAAATAACATGGTCAATTTTTTGAAATAAAAATTTTATATTATTAAAACGGTAGAACAAGTAACAAAAGCAAACGTTAATGTTATAATTGCATAATTAAAAAAAATAATCACAAATCATACACAGTTAAATTAAATGTTGGAAATGTCCGCCGTTAGGTTCAATGCAGGCAGCAATTCTTCGACACATTGACTGTCTATTATAACACGCAGGAAAATTTCCGAAGTGTTTCGAATTATGTCGCAAGATACAACAGTGCGCTCTCTTAATTGGTCAACATTTTTAACTGGAGTAGCGTAGACTAGGGTTTTCAGATGGCCCCAAAAGATAAAATCTAAACAATTAAGTTCGGGAGATCTTGGTGGCCAAGAGTGCGGACCTCCTCGACCGATTCAACGGTCTGGGTATTCGTCGTCCAAGTATTGGCGAGCAACCAAACCAAAGTGGGCCGAAGCTCCATCATGCATAAAGTACATACTTTGTCTTACTTGAAGCGGTACATCTTCCAGCAGTACTTCTTCTAGAAATTGTCGATAATCTGTTCGGTAAAAAATGTGGGCCTATCAAATGATCACCGACGATGGCAGCCCAAACATTTATGGAAAATTGTTGCCTTCTGCAATTTCATGTGAATTTTCTTCTGACAATATGTGGTTATTGTGAAAATTGAAAATACCATCCTTCGAGAAAGATGCTTCATCGGTAAACAGAACTTCGGCTCCAAACTCAGAATTTTGAGCTATTTTGTCTTGCATCCATGTACAAAAAGCCAATCTTGACGGAAAATGTCTTGGCAATAAGGCTTGTACTCTTTGGATATGGTAGGGATACAAAAGTTGCCTTTTCAAAATTCTCCAACCCGTCAAATGAGATACGTTTAAGTTGTGAGCAATTTTCTGATACTTGTGGTCGGATTATCATCAATTTCGTTGAGGACAGCCTCTTCTACTTGGGGATTTGCAACTTCCATAGGTCGCCCATTATCAGCAGTATTCCTTTTAAAACTTCCATTTTCCCATAGTCGTTGGTGAATGCGTAGAAACAAGTTATGGTGTGGTACTGGGCGATCAGGTCTTTCTTGATACAATCGCCTTGCTACTGCCGAATTACCGCACGCCAATCCGTAAAGGTTTTGCCAGCGTTTGCAATTCATTTTTAATTTTGTAATACAAGTTTACTTTTTGCAGGTACAAACTAATTGTTATTTTAACAGGAGGTAGCTTTTCTTATAAAATTTAAAGCATACTTGTTAAAAATAAATTATAGTAGTACAATTTTTTTACAAAAACGATTAAAAAGAGATTTATTAACATTAAAAAAAAAATTTTAATCAATTTTCTAAGACGATTTCAAAAGTTAAGAAGAATTTTAATATTATTTTATGATTAATTAAATCGTTTTTTTTATTAATTAATTTTTTTTAATTACATTTTGAAACATGTTATTTTATTTTTGTTTTTGTTGATATCTTTACAAGGGAGAGTTTTTTTAAAATTTTTAAAGCCAAAAGTTATCAGTTTGTCAAGTTGTTTAAGACTTTGGAAGAAAAAAGTATATGTGCGATTTGAAAAAATTAAAAAGGCGTCAGAAGGGCCTTTAGGCAATCCTGAAAAAAATTCTGTTCATGAGTTTTTGTTTTTGAGATATAAGCATATCATTTTAAATGAAACACCCGGTATAACATTCTCTGCAACATTTTGCTATATTACTAAGGATTTTTGATACCATCTTACGCAAGTTTTGCCTCTAAATTTACGATGGTAAATATTTTTATTATAATTTTTCTTTAATTCAGTTTTTATTACTTTGTAATTTAATTTTTTGTAATTCGCGACGGCAATGAAAGTTAAATTTTTATCACATTTTTCATTTACGAAAATTTTTCAAATTTGTTCAGGAATTAAACTAAACTCCTAATAGAATACGCCTAAATGTTGACGAAAGTAGAAATAAATTTTAATTATAAAAAGGAGTTCCTCTGAGACCTGACGGTGAGCTATTTCTTTTAATATCTTTTAATCCGTTTGTTTCCCTAAATGTTAGTTTCTTGCTCCTTAATTGTTTTTACTCTTTAGTTGATTTGTTAAGTTAATCTGATATTATCATGGTATTTTCAGTCGTGCCTGAAGAAGGAAAGAAATTTCCGAAACATATGTAGCACTGAAAAACTAATAAAATTGCCTCATCGTTAAACATAGTTTAATTATTTAATAAATTTACGATGAACACCGAATCTACTATATCTAAATAACTTCCTGACACTGTGCGCCGGCGCCTGGTGTTCGGCGCCGCGACGGCGATGACGTCCCGATAACAAACACATGTTATATGATGTTATACTAAATAGTGAGTTATTCCTGTGGTTATACGAGAAAGAGTTGGGTACTCCTGTCTCATTGTAGTTTATTATCTTCTATCACTGTTTTATATTTTTTTATTGTTATTACATCGTGTTATTTGTTTTAAAACAAGTACAATAATGCCGAACAAAACGCCTTTATCAAGGCGAAGAAAGTAGGACTCAACAAACGAGCAGAAGCTCGTCGAAAGAGG